TTATCAGTATCTCAGTTTCTCAATAATAAAGAAGTGAGGAGTAGGCACACAGTTTTATTGAATGAAAGAATTAATGAATGAATAGATAAATCTAATATACTCATTTTTTTCCTTTTAAGTACTTTAATTGTCAAACAAGTAAGACTTTCCTAAATAATTAAATAAATCTTGGACTCTATTAAATCAAACATAAAAATATGGCAAAAAAACTTCTAATGCCAGTAATATTTGATCTTATTAAAGTTCTTATGTTTTCAACTTCATTATAAGTTTAAATCAATACTCAAAAACTTCAAATTTGAATCATCAGATTCATCCATTAGGTTCTTTAATATGCAGTAGTTTCTTAAAATATGGCAAATATTTTAAATGCAAATTATTCATAGATGTTATTATTATTATTATCATTTCATTACCAGGGATTGAATCCAGGGACTTTAACCACCACTGAGCCACATCCTCACCCCTTTCTGTTATTTATTTTGAAACAGATTCTTGCTAAGTTGCTTAAGGCCTAAGTTGCAGAGGCTGACTTTGAACTTATAATCCTCCTGCCTCAGCCTCATGGGCCAATGGAATTACATTTGTGCACCACAATGCATAGCTCATAAACTGTTTCTTCTTTTCATGAAATGAAAACATTAATGTCATCTAATTTTCAATGCTTGAATTTGATCTACACTTTAAGACACTTATTACCTTAAAAATCATTGTTTTCCATATCTGAGGTTACAGTTGTGTAATAATAGGGAGGATGTTTGACTGAGCCCCAAGATTCTCTTCATCTTACCCTTAAACCACTGAACTGTGATCCATATCAACACATGAATGACTTGGTAGCTGCCAATTTCCTCATCACATAGATAGAGTTTGCACAGGACTTAATGAAACCAGCATTTAATGAAATTCAGAAACAGAGAGTAGAGATAGAGGAACACTCCTTACAATGCTTAAGTCTTTGAATATAGCTGTGCCTGAATTGAGATCCACTCTAGATCCTCCTGACTGCATAAGCCCACATATTTCTTATTTGGCCTAAGCTAAGTTTCACTTCGATTTTCCTCATGTTTAAATAAAAGAATTCTGAAATTTTTTTCCATACTGTGACAGCCATTATCCTCTTCCATCACCCCAAACATTCATAAAACATTTATTACTTCAAATAATCTTACTTGAGGAATGAAGGAAGATGGGGGGTCTAACATGCACTAAAACCTGAAGGGGAGTGAGGCAGAAGCCTCTGAAGGTGAAATGGGCGGGTGGGGGGGGATGATGGAGAACTCCATAAAATTAGGGATACAGAGCAAGAGTTACCACGGACTCACTCCTCTGAAATTGGGGTTTGCAGAATGGGAGGTCAGTACTTTTATTTGTATATAAAAGAATATTCCTTAGGAGGCCGCGATCTCTGAGTGACATTGCCATGCTTTTTACCAAGATATAAAGTGTTTCAACTCTGGAAGCATCATAGTTTATTATGATAAAAATAGGCAAAAATCATTAATTGTAGTAAGGGAGGAAAAACAGCACAGGAGGGGAGCCTGAGGCAGGCCTAGGGACAATCCTACACTCTGGAGGAAAAGATAGCATATAGAAAGTTAGTGTGGAAGCTGTTGTTTCTTGACTCACATCATTTATCCTTCTGGCAGTAATTCAATACTCCTTTGAGGAACAATTTTTTTTTAATCTGTTCTAGTCCATATCAGAGGGGCTTTCCAATTCCCGCAGGGCATTTTAATTCAGTCCATCAGCCCATTTCAATGGAAGTTTAGCATGCGTATAGTTATGACTAGTAGTTCAGAAATGAACCTCTTATTCCAACCAGTATAGTAGGTTCAAAACTTTAATTAGAAGTTTTGGGAAAAGGAAACTTCTTTCTCTCTCCCTCCCCCCCTCCTAGAAAGAAAAGTAAAAGAATTTATTAAAACAAGGTGAAGTAAAGCTCCTGTGGCTGAGAAGGGACCTGAGAAGGTTGTCAGTGAATGGCTACTGTATAGGGTTTACATGGATCTTTAGGCTTAAGAAAGTCAACACCCAGCTCAATACAGGAGAAGGTACCCAGTAAAGGGAGGCAGCCAGTGCCTTATTAAGGGATTCTTCTTCCTGCCAAGGAGGATGTAAGCCACCTGAGAAATTAAAGTCTAGAATAATTAATGAAGAACAAAAGACAAAGTCAGAATTAGGTTTAAAGAATTGAAGCACCTAATAGGTCCAGTCCACACAGGAGCTGGAGCTAGACAGTTAGAAAATGGCTCCTGTGGTTTTTTTGAGAAGGTACATCAAAGGCATGGGTAATGTTTCAAGGGTGGAGTCTTGCTTCATGATATATCGCCTTGACAGGTTTTTTGGCATCTTGGCAGGTCACACCCATCTCAGAGGGGCTATATAGCTGGGTGGTTGTAGCAAATCATCCCATGTGAGACCTTTGGCAGAGCTTGAATAGGGCTCACAATATATCTGGGCAGTCAACCAGAAGAAATGTCTACTGGAAGTTCCCAGACACCAGATTCTCCTATTCATTAGGTTGTGATGTACAATAGTCCACACACAGCCCATGGATGGTTCTCGACAACCCAGTATCCAAAAGGCATTCATTCAGACTGTATTCAAATCAAAATATTAATCAAGTGTTTTTCCTTCTTTGGTGACAACATGAACTCCAGGTCATGTATGAAGGAAAGGTCTCTTAAATGAAATTGTAATTCCAGAGCTTCCAGGGTCTAGTTCCAAAGAAATTCAATATATTCACTTGTTTCCCCACTAGAGGGTGTAGCTCACTCATTGTGGTAGAAGCAAGCAATGACACAGTTAATGCTGGTAGGCATGACCCAGGCCTACTGGCATCATACAGGTCCCATTTCTAGGACAGTATAAAATGGCCAAGCATGGCTACACACATAGGAAAGGGAACCATATCAAAATGAGAGATGGAGACTTTATCTCAAGAATCGTGAAGGTTCCTTAGACTTAAAAAGGAAAAGGTAGCCGGGCCAGTGACCCATGCCTGTAATCCCAGCGGTTTGGGAGACTAAGGCAGGAGGATTGCAAGTTCAAAGCCAGCCTCAGAAAAAGAGAGGTGCTAAGCAACTCAGTGGGACCCTGTCACTAAATAAAATTCAAAATAGGGCTGAGGATGTGGCTCAGTAGTAAAGAGCCCCTGAGTTCAATCCCCCAATACCAATAAATAAAGAAAGAGTAGAAATGAAAAATACATTTTTCTCTTCCATGCCAGATCTAATGGCAAAAAGTGCCTGAATTTTGATGTTGAGAAACATTTTGAGGCCATGTTCATTGATTACTGTCATCTTGTGTGGGTGTGGGAAGAAACAGGAAAGATGGGTATAACTGACTCTTACCATAAAGGGTGAGTTTTTTCTTTTAGGAACACTGTTGGCATTTTGGACAGATCAGTTCTTCACTAAGCAGGATCGTCCAGTGTACAGAAAGGCCTTTCTCCACTGAAGTATCATTCTAGACATTGTCTTCCAGGTCCTTAAATGCCCCTTAAAAGGATAGTATCATTTCACTCAAAAATCTTTAGGTTGCATCTAGAATGGCTTAACTTGGATTTACCTGAGTATTTAATTCAAGTATCTTAAATCCTTTAAGACCAAGGAGAAGATAAGGATTTGTTTTTCTAGATTTTGAGACCAGACTGAGCTTTTTACTAAGGGGGGGACAGGGATTGAGAATGGGGATGAGAATGAAGAGTACTTAGCAAAGAGTGATAGAAAGCCAGGTGAGACCTAACAACAGGTATTAATTATTATCTCTGGTTAAGAAAGAGGAAGAGGGAACCCAAGCTGTGAGGAAAGGGGTATCCTGTTAAACATCAGTGTCCTATGGGGTGCCCTAGTCCTATCTTAGGATTCTACTATGAGTCAATGTTTCCTTGGTCAGGTTATTGTCTTTTTATACAGTTCTCAGGGAGCTGGTCTCTACTTGTCTTCTGAAGCTGCTGAATAATATCAGGGCCTTAAATTGTTTTGGAGCAAGGCACCATATGATTCAGTGAGTGAATAATAAATCAACAAAACATTCCCTACCTCTGAATTTGAGAGTCCAAGACAGTCTATTTTCATATTTTAGAAGCTCCTGGAGAGAGAAGTGTGGAAAAAGAGGACTCAAACAACAAAGAATATACACAGCTACTTTCAAGGGTTGCATTTATCATGTTCTTCAGCCAGGACCACCAGGAACATTCCAGTGGTTGAACAAGTTGAGTTTATTATTCATTGCAACTTGAGAGAATACACATCCTGGGGAACCACATAGGATTTGAAATTATGTAGGATTTGAAATTAAGTTTTGAGAGAGATGTAAGGAAGAGAAGTGTTGCTTTGCACAGGATGCTTTCATGAAGTGGGAGTAATCTTGCAATTTGGTATCTTTGAAAACCTTATTCAGGAGGAAGGAAGACTAGCTGAAGGCTAAACTTATAATTGATGAAGAAGCAGTAGTCATTCTTACTAGTATAGATAAGGGGGTGTTTGGTATTTTGTGGCTTAGATAATGATTGCGTTTTTCCATCTGTTGAGACATGATGGGGTAATGTTATCTTTATCATGATTCATCATAATCACAGAGTGGCTTCATCAGATGGAAATGCTCTATTAAATCATCAAGATCCAGATGTAAGTAGGAGGTCAACCTGGTGCTAATGCCAAGGTTAACACCTGGATTTAATGGGTTGTCTTCTCTTTCTCTCAGTTAAAAATATTGCTTAATAATTATTTGTTTTCTTGCTTCATCACTGGATTATAAACTTCACAAGTGCATTTAACCTGTTTTGATTGATACCTAAGACCAAAAATAGTAAAGCCAATCTCTGAATCTCATAAGAATTTGAAGAATATTTACTGCAAAAATGACTGAATTATCCAATTAGTCTATTCAACAGTCAGTTACACAAAGTCAGGAGTACTTGCTAGTTAAATTTGTAGTCCTAGAATCAGACGTAATTCTCACACATCTCATTAAATATATTTCAAGTCAAAGAGAAGCTTTCCAAAGAATAAAATTTATTGGTTAAAAAATAAATATAATAAATTCTCCTTTGTTAAGGAAAGATGATGCTTAATTCAAAAGTTTTCACTCATTGATGAATGAAGAAAAAACACATCATATTCATGACAGCTGGGACTTTCTGCATATTCCGTTGTATTGAACTGTAAGGGTGAGATTCAGTGCTCTAAGAGAAATTGATATACATTATTTAGAGATCACTTGTATGAAATATAACCTTTCCTTTTCTTAGCCTATTTGTATCATAATAGATATTTTAAGGGACACAAGGCCTTGATTTGTAAACTCCAGACTTAAAAAATAGTGCCTAGATATAAAGATTCACTTCTCACCCCACTTTGCCCTTCCACCCTGGAAAAATTTCTGCTTTGTAACATAATAGAAAATTATTAAGAGTGTTTAGCAAATGTGTAAGCCAGTATTCTCAAGAGGTGGGAGGAAGTAATGGCTTACTGAGACATCTCCCAAAATCTTTTCATTTTTTTTTTATCATTTCTGTAAAATGATCTATTGAGTATCTATTGAGATATACCCTTTTGAGACTCACTACAAAAGTGCTCTATGGGTTTCAAATAGGAAGTGTAACTTAGTACTAGGAGAAATACCATAATGAGGCAGAACAAGATAAATTCAGGAGTATGGAAAACATAATTGAAAAATGTTTGCTTTTTCAGCAGAAACATAAAAACAATAAGCTAATTAATGCATTTTATACAGTCGGTGGACTTTTGCTTTCATATATCATGCAAAAGTGGTACTTTTAAAAAAAAATAAATAATAGTAATGTTGGAACTACTGGAAAAAGATAACATTGTTCATTTTCAACAAATACTTCCTATTTGACATTGGGCACGACAAGTAACTGGAGTATTTCCTTTTTATATATAAAAGGAAATAATTCTTCCTATCAGATAGTATTTAGCATGGGCTTCTTGGGATCCTGTTTGGAAAAGTACTTTCTAACAATAAGTGGGCTTAGTTTAAGAGTAATAATATTTTGTTCTTTATTGCTTTTACTTTCTCTGAACCTAGCACAGTGTCTGGAACTTAGTAACTTACTAGGTGTTTATTAAACACTCATGGGGAAAAAATGAATAAATATAAGGAAAACATTTTTTTTCGTCAGTGCTAAGATTAAACCCAAGACATCCTACATTCTAGACAGGGACTCTACTCTGAGCTATGCAGCCCCAGACCAAGAAATTCTTTTTAACAAATCCTAGAATTCTGTCCAAATATAATATTCTAATCATTAGACAAAATAATGGGAAACTATCCTTGTGGACTCTGGGAGTCATATTCCTAGATTAGTCTCTTGGTTTCTCCCCTTGCAATCTATATTATCTTGGATATGACACTAAATCTCCCTAAGATTCAGCATCATCATCTACAAAATGAGAGGTAATACCAGTATGTACTTAATAAGCTAAAGTAATTTCTTTATAGCACCAAACCAAGTGTCTGGTATATTCTATAAACACTAAGTTAAAAATCAGATGAATTGTAAGTTTTCAAAAGATTCACAATCAGGTATTCCTGTTGATATTTTATATTTCTGTTCACATGTAATAAATGTATTTTTAAAAAGAAGCATCATAAGACATCTTCCCTTTTTAAATTTAACATTAGTCATGGTTGTTTTTAGAGAACTTGATATGTAAACTCCAGTGGAATTTTTTTAAATCACATATGTGTCTGGGTATATAGCTCAGTGGTAGAGTGCTTTCAGAGCATGTGCAGGGCTCTAGGTTCAATCCCCAGAGCCACAAAAAATAAAAGTCATTTTACAAATTGGTATTTAAACAAAACAAAGATCTTTTTGGAAGTTAAGTGAATCAACTTTATAACTACTCTAAGATGTAGAAACAAGGTACCAGGCAGAACTTAAACTAGGCCCTGAATAATGGAGGTGAACAAATGGGCAGATAGTGTCAAAGTATGCTGGTCCTCTTGCCTTTTCAGGCCCATAACCTGGATTCATATTTGGAATGTTTGATAATCTGAGAAGGAAGCGACTAACTTCAGATTAAAGGAGTTAAGTGTGAAAGGTGGTGAGTGTCAAGTAGAATTACTTGACACTTATGTGTGAACTCTCTCTGAAGTGGTGGGGTCATGAGATGCAGAGTGGGTCTCTTAACTGGCTTGGGATGGTTGCTGCTCTAGTTAATAGCTCAGGCTATTATTTACTAAGGGTCTGCTATGTGATCACCAGCAGGGTGAGCCTTCTTTATTGTTATCTTTTCAATCCACATGACTGACTTCTGAGATAATTGCTGAGGCGAAGCTATCAGTACTAAGTCATATAGTTTAAACAAAAGATCTGTGATTCCAACCCAATTATATAGCATTAGAGTCTTCACTCTTAACCACACTTTCCATTCTGAAAGACTGAGCCAAAACAACAGTGGTAATTTGGAGCTTTAAGTTTACAAATGCACTTTATGTCATTCTATTTATTCTTTCTGAGAACCATCTGATGTATTCATTTATTCAACAACACTTACTGGGGATCTACTTGGTATAAACACTGTGTTGAATGCTAGAAAAACAGCAGATACCCTACTTCTGACTTCATAGAGCTTGCAGGGGGCAAGAGGACAGAAATAGAAAATTAAAATATTTGGGAATTATAAATATTACAAATAAAAGAGAAGAAGATCAACATGGAACACATGGAGGTGAATTTGTTGTTGACAGGGTGGTCAGGTCATATAGCTTGTGGGAAGATAAAATTAGGCAGAAATCTAAGTGATGAAGGGGTACTAGCCTTGTGAAGAACATGAGAATGGAATTCTTATGGAAGAGGACAGTTTTCCCAAGGTTTCCAAAGCAAGAAAGTGCTTCATATGTTTGAAAATATCAATAAAGAAGAGTCAGTGTGGATGGAGCACATGTAGCAAGTCAAGCAGAAATACAACCCCAGGTTTGCAGATAAGGACTTGATATTTGGAGGAGTTATGAGACATTTTAATGTCACTAAGCTACAGGGGCAGGCTTCAAACCAAGTTCTTTTGACCTTGAATGCTGAGATTTGTTTTGAACAGGTAATACTTCTTGGAGCTATGTTTTTCACACATTCTTGGAATTTTTGACACACAATTACACATGAAAACTCATGTTCAAATCAGTTAAAGGGAGGCTTCTCATCTGAATTTGTAGGTAGAACTCAGAGTCTCAACTATTGCCTGTTACCCCAACCCCTCAGCCAGTGAATCAGCAACTCTAATATTATAAATTTTAGTTTAAAGAATCACATTTTGAAAGAATTCACAAACATTTTCCAAAATAGTAAATATCAGCTATTAATAGTCAGCTACACATTAGACTCTCAAAAGAACAAATTAGACTTCTAATTAGACTCAAGAGAACACATGTTAGACTTCTCAAGAGAAGGTTTTGGTTTCATGTTTTCACTTACATGTTGGCGAAGCAAAACACACAGGAATTAGGATACGTAACATTATTAGAGGCGCACAATGGGCTGGCTCTTATGGAGCATGTGTGTTCCCGCTGTACACTCTTCTTTTGATAATAATTGCACAGAATGACCTAAAATAAAACTCACAGGTCAAATCCTCTCTTCTGCATTTCTTAAAGGCTTCTAATATAAGTGCTTAGGTGTTTAATTTTTTGCTCAGAGGGGATGATGATAGGTTGTCTTCTTTTAAACCTCAAACATCCAAACTATGTTATCTTAAATTTAGCAAATACTGCCTTTGGGATTACCAACTTGGAGGGTGCCTGAGGGGCCCAGATAATTAGGTGTGGATGACATGTCTGAAACCTCTTAGAAGTAATACAAGTGGCAGTGCCCACTGTCTGTGGATGACCACAGCATTGTCCAGGTGCCTCTGTTCCGTAAAGCCCCCCAGAACTGTGGTTTCTGGAATGGGACACCCTGTATGGTTCCACTCTGGCACTGGCTGTTGCTCTGTTCTCTGGGGATTTAGGTTCTAGAATAAAAAGGGAAAGAACTACCAGATTTAATTTTTTTCTAATACCGCTCTATTTTATTTTGCTTTCCTCATTCTTACCAGAATTGGAATAAGCTGCTCTTAGAAGATCTTGAAAATTAGAATAATTTGTCTGCAGGTGGGAGGAGACTTGGAAAGTTCATCAGCATTATAATATGCAGATTTGGTGTTCTCTTGCCACAGTCTCCTGATCCCACGGTTCAGATCATAGTGTATTCATGCACACAGTGTATCAGGCTGTTCCCTTGTCTATAAGTCATCAATGGTTCCCATTACATCACTGTTCTACAAACTTTGGCCAACTGGTTTATTATTCCCTTTAATTTCATGTGCTCTTTTTCTTTAAAACTATTTTTCTTTAATTTGACTTATTTTTATAAACTTGAGTAACAACCTTAGATTTGTCTTAAATATGAATATCATTAATACATTTGATATCATAATTATATTTTCTATAATATGAAAGAAAAAACTAATTACTGAAATAAAAAAGATTCCTTGGCATATTAAGTAAAATAAGCATTGATACTATTAGAAGGTATTCAAACCATTCTTTGGGAAAAGACCATTTATGTCTCCTATTTCCTCTTTAAGCAATTAAATCTACATGTTAGATATGAAAAGGTTTTATCAAAAAAAAAAAAAGGAAAAGAAAAGATACTTTATTAGGCTCTTAAAGCATGCAAGTGACTTTTTGAATTGGATATAAGCATAGGAAGAAAGGTATTTAATTATAGGGAATTGTGTGAACAAAAGCACTGGCATATGATGGACCACAAAACAGTTTAAATTAACTAGAATATAGGTAGGGTAAAAGAAGGGGAATTATTACAGAGAGAAAGAGGCTGTTTAAGAAGGGTATTGCAAACCTTGCATAAAGTTGACCTTTAGGGTACTGGGAGTCCATGTTTTTAATAGGGAAACTTCTTGTTCAGATTGACATTTTAGAAAGTTCATTCTCAAGATTAGAGCAGAGGGTGGCAAACATGTTCTGTTAAGAGCCAGGTAATAGGGCTGGGGATATGGCTCAAGCCGTAGCGCACTCGCCTGGCATGCATGCGGCCCGGATTCGATCCTCAGCACCACATACCAACAAAGATGTTGTGTCCGCCGAGAACTAAAAAATAAATATTAAAAATTCTCTCTCTCTCTCTTTCCTCTCTCACTCTCTCTTAAAAAAATAAATAAATAAATAAAAGTTTAAAAAAAAAAAGAGCCAGGTAATAAATATTTCATGACTTTTAAGCCCTTTAGCCTATGATGCAACTGCTCATCTTTGTTGTTTTACCCTGAAAGCATCCATAGATGACATGTGAAGGAGGGAGCATGTGTGCCTTCCAAGAAAACATGATTTTTCAACATAAATGGGCCTTGTTGGTCAATCTCTGAATAGAGTAAGTATAAGGAAAACATTAAATGACTATTGCAACAATATGATCATGAGGTGAGAACTTGACCCTGGGCAAAAGCAATGAAGTTGGAAGGAGGAAAAAAATTAGAAAAAAAAGTAGGATCTTTAATTGCCTATGGTATATAAAGGCATGAGAGAGCATGAAGAGCCAGAGTCCTGGTTCTCCTCAGGATAGATATTTAGGTTGAACCATATGAAATTGCCACTATGCAGACTGAAAATGATCAAATAATGTTAGTTTCATATGGTTTAATTCAGTTTAAACTAACAGAAATTATACAAGGCTAAGACCAGGGAAAGTATTCTTACACAGAAAATAGCAAACTTACCGTAAATGTCATCTCACCAAAAACATCTGAAATTTTAAAAAAAGGATCAAATAAAACAATGCAGTGTGGAAATGTGAATAACTAATTAGCCCACTAAGTAATCACATGTAAATTAATAACCACGAAATCCAGAGAAAAATTAATGTTTCCTGCATAAGATCAACCTGGACATGTCTGATTCCCAAAATTGTTTCCCTCCTCTCTTTATTCCTGGGATCCTTAATGCCCTATAGGGAACATAGACTTGTCCTATTCCTAGGTTTAACACTGGCCTTCGACAGGAGGGATTAACTCCAGCTTCACCCTCTGGGCCTTAGCAGCACCATTCACTGTTGGGCTGCTCAGGCATTGTGAGGTATCTACTTTGGAAAAAGGTCTCATTCTTCATAGTCCTCCTGACTACCTGCTGATAGAAATCTTAGATGCCTGCTTTCACCTCTGATTTATGCCTGTCTTGAAAACGTCTTTTCCTAAACTCTCCCTGTGCATACGGAAGCCTCTTCTTTTGTCTGGAACCTTGGTGTCAACATCTGCTCACTATTAGTACTTCCTTTTACCTTCATATTTGATGTTCTACTCAGCAGCCTTGGCTTCTTTTAGCCACTACAGCAGGGCCTTCTCACCTTTCCTTTTACCTGTGTCATCCAGCTAGCAGATTCAGTTTGATACCACGGGCTCCTATTTTGGTGTCACATCTGGTGGTGTTTTGGTAGTAAGCCATGTCAAAAACTGACACTGCTTTGCATAGAATGTATTTGTGTGAATACACACAAACACACACATAGTGCAAGTTAGGGAGAAGGAATTAGGAAGTCAAAATTGATTATCAACACAGAAATCCACATGGCTTGTTATTGATGGCAACCATCATGGGTCATCTCTTAAAATATCTCATCTGAAATGGTCTGTGGGAGAGTTCTTGGAATATTAAAAAAGGGAGCTGACTACTGATGTTCATTCTAGCTGAGATGGTAAGTTCTTCATCTGTGAGAAATGACTCAGTGTCTAAAAGATGCCTACACTGAAATAGCAATTATTATTTAATTGCTCATTCCTTCCCCAAGACTGACAAATTCTTACATGAGAAGTAGCCAGAAGCCAAAATGGCCAGGAAGAACATATTCATCTTTTCCACAAGGAACAATGTAGTTCATCGACTTGAGTCCCCTTTGGTTAGGAATTTACCAGCAAGTGCCTTAAACCTAGGTTCTTCTGATGAACCAAGAGCTGTGGCCCCATTATGAGAGCCTAAGACCTCATTATGAAGTCACTTTGCAAATGATCTATTGACATGTGACATCAAAGGCAAAGTCACCAAACCATCCAAGGCCAAGAAGACTTGAAAATACTTCATTTTCAACAGGCTGTGGAACCATGGTATGATAGTATAATTTAGTGTTGCTTTGTTTGATTATTACTCAGTTGCATAGAAGTACAACCTGATTTTTAATTATCAAGAGGAAACAAATGTGGAAAAGATTGATGTAGAATGATTCCTTTAGGGCACTTTTTCAAAATTTCCATGTTTACTTTCTATGGTTTCTTCAATATTAAGATTCAGATTAGTACATCCAGGATAGAAAATTGAAAGAATAGGGAACTTACAATTTTCCAATTTTCTTGGGCTTAATTTTCTGGATCCTTTCCTCCCTTATTCTGTAAAGTGATTTATGTCTTGGTAGAGTCATGTCTTTATCCCTTTTTATCACTGTACCCATTTCTACACCCTAGGTAGATTGCACTTCATATCTCATATTTAACATAAAGCATTAAAGAAATAACTGAAAGTAACCATGGAAACTCAAGGCAATTATATGCTATTTCTGTTATAATTCCTAGCTTGCCTAACAAGCAGAGGCCTGGAGATCATATAAAACCAGTGGCTTTATACTGAAGCTTGTATTATAACCAGATGCAGTAAGGCTCAGTTCATATTATTATGGAGAGAGAGAGAGAGAGAGAGAGAGAGAGAGAGAGAGAGAGAGAGAGAGAGAGAGAGAGAGAGAAAGAAGAAGAAGGAGGAGGAGGAGGAGGAGGAGGAGGAGGAGGAGAGAGGAGAGGAGAGAAGAGAAGAGAAATCAGTCTCCCCAAGGAAATAAGTCTTTAAAAGAATAAGATCTATTCTCAGATTTCCCAGGGACACTAGCTTGTTTTCACTGTTCAGCTCAGAATAATAGAGAAACTATCTTAAAACAGACAACTATTTCCATAAAGCCATGGGTTACAAAAAAGTGAGTCAAGAAGCTTAAGTTATCATTCTATGTCTACCAATTCTTCACAGGATAAATCCTGCCCCTTTTCAGGGCATCTGTGAAACAAACAGTTCTCCTGGAAGAAGGTAAAACTCCTTCTCAGATTTTAAGGCAGAACATTTAGACCATTGAGGAAAACACTCTCCACTCAGACAATATTTGGAGCAAAGTGTTAAGTTCTGGATACTACATTTAGAGTGGGACTCTGTAGGGTCACAAAAATTGTGGACAATTCAAATACTAAGTCTTACAAATGGGTAAAAGAAATGGAATAATTATCTATGTTAAAAATTTGGGAAGACATGAGTGTTTTTGAATTCCTTAGGATTTTCAAGTAGAATAATAACCTTATGTCTGTGGCTCCAGAGAAGAGAGGATAGAACAAATAATAACTAACCTTTATATTTACATTCTTCCTCATAGCAACTGCTAGTAAGGACTATTGGTATCACCATTCCAGAGATAGAAAACTGAAGTAAAAGCAGGAAATTTCCTCAATGCTGCAGAGACAATAAATAGTATCATCTGAATTCAAACCTAGGAAATCTTTCTCTAGAACCTGTCAACTTAACCATGACATTATTTAGCATTTTGGCTCAACATAAAGATTTATTGAGGATGAAGATTATTCAACTTGTCGTTGCATCTTGAATTTTCAGTCCAGTGCCTGGCATACTGTGCAACAAAATTGTTAAAATAAGTGAACACATAATTTGTTCACTTAATAATTTGAACACTCAAGAAGCCCACTGATGAAACAGGCTGCTGTTTGGAGGCTTGAATCCTCCATCTTTGGGGCTACAGAGGCAGAAGAAAAAAGTTGATCATAGCCTCTTTGAGAAATGGAATAAGATTTCTTGATGAATAGAAAGTAAAAGTGAAAGGAGAAGAGCTAAAAATAAAAGGGAAGCAAGTAAAGTTACTGTATTGGTTTGGATCTGAGATGTTCCCCCCAAAGTTTCTGTTAATTCAGGGATATTCAGAGGCAAAACAATTAGGTTATGAGAGTTGTAACCTGATTGGTCCAAACCTAGTTTGAATGGACTGACTTGGTGATGACAGTAGGTAGGTGGGACATGTTGGAGGAGGTGGGTCACTGGGAGTGTGCTCTGGAAAGTTTGTTCTTGTTGCAGCCCCTCTCTCTCTATGCTTCATGACCTGCCATGAGGTGAATAGCTTTCCTCCACTGCCCACCCCCACATGATGTGCTGCCTCACATTGGGCTCAGAGCAAGGAGTCGGCTATCTTTGGACTGAGACCTCTAAAACCACAGGCCCCAAATAAACTCCTCCTCTACGTTGTTCTTACAGGGTATTTTGGTCACAGTGACAGAAAAGCTAACCAAAACATCTATCCAGTATTGTGAACCAGGCTCCTGTACTTGTATTATATTCAAAGGAGAAATTCCTTCTTGATTATTCATTTTCCTGCTACCCGCCAAGCCCCAATGCAAATTTCTCACATAACCTTTCAAGTCTCAAAACATGGCTAATTGAAAAATTCAAATAGAAATAACACATGAAAATGCTGGTTAAACTCAATTATTGATTGGGTATTAAAATACAAGGCTTTAGGGCTGGAGATGTAGTTCAAGCGGTAGCACGCTTGCTTGGCATGCGTGCAGCCCAGGTTCGATCCTCAGCACCACATACAAAGATGTTGTGTCCACTGAACACTAAAAAATAAATATTCTCTCTCTCTCTCTCTCTCTTTAAAAAAGTACAAGGCTTTATACCCTTATTATGTCTGTATTTACAACTACAAAGAAAACTTAGTAAGAGCAGGAACAGTGTGTATTTTATTTTGTTCATCATTGGCTCCCCAGAGCTCATCACTGAACTATGTATTTAGGAATGTTTTATATATATATATATATATATATATATATATACACACACACACACACACACACACACACACACCAGGGATTAAACCCAGAGGCACATAACCACTTGAGCCACATCCTCAGCCTTTTAATTTTGTTGAATTTTGAGACAGGCTTTTGCTAAGTTGCTTAGGGCTTACAAAGTTGCTAAGGCTGGCCTCGAATTTGTGATCCTCCTGTCTCTTAAACTGCTGGGATTACAGGCATGTATGACTGCACCCAGCCTCAGTAAGTTTTTTACTTAATGAATGATATGTGAAAATTTCATGAATCATCCTTTCTCAAAGCACTCTGTGTGATCTCTAAAGATCATGTAATCAGATGGGGTATAAGACAAATTTTAGACTAATCTTAGGGATCAAATTTTTAAACAGTAATGGAAAAACAGAAAATGATCCCATTGGAAGATGCACAGCATTACCTTGTTTTTCTTCCTAGAAACTTCAGAGCAATCCATTTGGGAGAATGGAAACAGTCTGAGTGTCCCAATCAAGGCATTTCTCAATGCAATACTTCAGGGATGTCAGTACACTGGTAAAAGTCCATTTTCTCATTATCAGTAATCAAGGCTGCAATCTTATGTGTAAAGACTTTCCCTCTGTTTTCTAGGTTTATGTAAAGAATCTATATGAACAAAGCAGACCGAAGAGTTTATTTCTCTCATCAGGATTAGGGGGAAAAAAAAACATGCCTTTGAGCTACTGATTCCCACTATTGCTCAAGAGAGAAATTCCCAGCAGAAAGTTTATAATGTTTATTTATCTATTAATTATGATTAAAGTAAGCTTAAGAGATTCAATTTCCATACCAAAATGTTCAGAAGAAATTTCCTTTAAATCCATTTTACTTAAAAAGCGATGAAAAATATAGTGGTACAAAAGAAGGCATACTTTTCCTTGGAAAAAATTGCCTCTTGTACTTAGATTGCCCTGTAAGTTATTTCACCTTCACAGCTGTAAACATTCAAATCAACATTTGCTTCATGGAGAGAAAATAAAGGCATGCAACAAAAGTAAGCATTTTTGTTCGCATCACACTTTACCAGTATGATTCAGAAAAACTTGTCCTTACTTGTCATCAAATTTAAGGTTCAGACTTTGGCATATAACCATTCTTCACCTGTGGCAGCTTATTATAAGAAACTATTTTAAAATAAGGTATATGAATTGTTATGCGCTATTATTGATTTCAGGGATTTAATTTTTCAATTAAATATAGCAGACTTTAAATTTAAAAACCAGGCCCTTATCTATATCCTATGAGATAAATGAACGAAGTAAGACTATTGGATTATTAAACTCCTTAGAGCTCTTGTTTTTTGTAAAATATGATATACTTACACCTACCTCATGTATTTTTAGTGAGGAATAACAAAAGCAATTAAGCATGTTTTGTGCTTAGAATCCTGTCGTATATATATATAAGAGCTAAATGTTAGTTATTATGTTTAATTTTGGCTTTAATTATATACCAGGATGACTATAAAGATATGCATCAATGTTGTTTACTAGCCTTGAGTTTCTATTCTGAAATTCTAACTAATTGCTGAATGCCTCCACCTGAATATTGCATTGTGCCTTTGTTATGGTTTGGATATTTAATATTTCCTTGAAAAGTTCATGTGTTAATGCAGAAGTGTTGAGAGGGAAAATGATTGGATTATGAGAGCTCTAATTCATTTGATGGATTAGTAATTTAAATGAACAATTGGGTGGTAACTACAGACAGGTGGGTATGGCTGGAGAAAGTAGGTCACGGGGGCATGCCGAAGGAATTATATCTTGTCCCTGACTTCTTGTGC